TTTCAAAACCACTTGTATTTCTCAGGGAACCAGTAATACAGGTAACCATCAACCTTTGGAAGAAGGAACGCTAAGAACGTTTATCGTTAAACATTTATATCATCATATTGTAATATTCTTTTGGAAATATGTATAACGCAACAATGTACGTTTTTATTATATATATGATGGTTGTGTACTTTCTTTATGATATTCAATTGTTATGGTACTACGTGAAGTCATCCACCCCCGAATGTTTCCGCCATTCTGGTTTGGGGGTGTAACGATCGATATTCCAACAGCACTGGAAATCGACAAACACAAAGCGACTACTCGGAAACTAGAAGAAAAAATGCAGAGAGAGGGAGCGCTTTCAGATTTTCGTGAGAGTCTATATGGCTCCTAGAACCTAGAAGGCATCAAACGGACCCCCATAGGCCGGCCCAGAAACCCTAGGGCGACAGCTTGCTCTCCAAGCAATCTGTTTCCTGATCCTTCTAGAATACCCTGACTTGGCCTCCACGCCATTTCGCATACTCGCGGCGTCGGCTAGTGCTAGGCTAGGCTAGGCGCGCGCGTGGGCTTGGCCCATTCCTTTGATCCACTAAAGCCTTTGAAGGCTTACCAAGGGAATAGGCTTATAAACCCACAAAAGTTTCTTCCCCCCACCAATGTGGGATACAAAGGAAATTGCCAACTTGCAATTCCATTATATATAAAGTTCCAACACTATTTACTTTCTACGTGATATTTTTCTTAAAAACATCATCCTATCATTCTATGTTATTAAAAGAGTAGTTCTTTTGCCAAATGTCATAATATTAGACTTCATAATTAATATGATATCACTTGTCATTCTATTAATTTTCTATTTTAAATTAATTAAACCTCCTAATTAATGTGATTATATTTGTTTAATATATATGGAAAATTAACTCCACATATTTAATTGAATCATCCTATGCTAATAAAAGAATAGTTTTTTTTTTTGCCAAGTGTCATAATATTAGACATCCTAATTAATATGATTTCACTTATCATTCTATTAATTATCTATTTTAAATTGATTAAACCTCCTAATTAATGTGATTATATTTGTTTAATATATATGGAAAATTAACTCCACATATTTAATTGAATCAATGATTATAATTTTACATAATTAATAAAAATATATTTTAATTAATAACTTATTTAAAATTTTATATAAAATAAATGATTAATAATTTTGAATTTTTTACAAGTTTAATAATTTTATAACCATGGTTCCCACGAGTTATAAACTAGTTTAAATAATATAGTTTCTTTTTGGTTTATGTTTCGCTTTCAATTGATCATTTTTTTTTTCAGTTTTCTTCGGTAACAAAATGTGTTTTTTCTCATAATAAAAATAACAAAAGGTATTCATGCAACCATTTGTTATGTTATAATCGAATAATTGATCATTTTTACAATGCATTCAATCATGCACTCTTTTCCTTGTTTCAAGTGATGTTTGTAAACTTCAAGAAAATGGATCATTGAGTTTCCATCGATGTAATTTTGTAAGTATCTATTTTATGTTGTTTCAAAAGATTGTTAAAAAAATTGTAAAATTTATGTTTGTTATCTTAAAATTTGGAGTTTCTCTCTATATAAAAGTCATAACTTTATAACTAGGAAAAATCTCCGACTATCCATGTGGATCTTGTTCCCCCTTTTTCTTTTTTTTTGGAAGGAGTGATATTGTTTAGACAAAAGCTCTAGAAACTAGAGCATAAAAAGTACAAAGGAGCTACGATTAATTGGGGGATTACACATCCAATTATCTCAGGGCATCTTGCACTTTATCAAATTCAAAAGAAAAACATACATAATATCATCAGATATATCAT